ACAGAGAGATGGACGGAGGGGTGGATGGGCAGAAGGATGGACAGAGGGATGGGATGGATGGATAGAGGGATGTGTGTATGGCAGAGGGGTGGACAGACAGACAGGCCTGTTTGCCTCCTGCCTCAGTTTCCACAACTGGCCAAGATCCCCCCGACAGGAGCCTGATCACCCCAGCCTGGGAAGCACCTTGGCTCTTCCAGCTTGTTGGGGGTTCCCCAGCTCACACGGGTGTCCTTCTGTCCCCACCTCCCTTCCTGGGGGCCTAATTTAGCCCCAGGGTGTCACCCCAGGACTCACCACCCCTGAGTCAGCTTTGGGGACCCTTTGATGTGCGGGAGGGCAGCACAGCCTGCAGATGGTGGCAGCAGGACTTCTCCCTGGCAGGAGATGACAGCCAGGAGAGCCACGTGTTCCCTGGATAATTGTTCCTGTCAGCTCGGGTATTTTTGGAGCTTTTCCTTCCTCTGCTCTCTCATTCCGTTTCGGAGGCAGCAGCTGGCGGAGAGCAGTGGGTGCCCCTGCGCCCAGGACAAGGGGGAGCCCCTCTGTCAGGGATCCCTGTCAGCCACAGGCAGCTCCTGCTACCAGATACTGTATTAGAATAGAATAATATATACATATATAAATGCATTACCTATATAATATGTATAATTATTACACACAGTGATGGCAGCCGTCCCCAGTCAGGCTCCCATCACGATGACACTCGGGGGTCATTGGGATCCCGGCGCCTGGTGCCTCCTCCGAGCGTGATCCCCCCCATCCCTGAGCGAAGCTGCAGCTCCCTGTGTGATTCCCTGGGAACATGGCTGCCGGTGACGCGGCCGGTGACCTTCCTGCGGGCACAGAGCCACCCGACGTGTCACCCTCTGGGTGTCGCAGGGCAGGCAGCCGAGCCAGAGGGTCCCCAGTTATTTTCCGAGGTGATTATTTCCCCGCTGCCTCAGTTTTCCCGAGGCTGCCGGTGCCACGTGGGCTCCTCCCGGCCCTGCCAGGCACGTGTCGCCGGCGGCAGCCCCGCGTCCCCTCCGGCGCTGGTGGAGGGTGATAAGCGGCTGGCGAGTGGCACGTCTCCGAAATCAAATTACCTTTGATGTCGCCAGGGCTATTTTCATCCCTGCTCGGTCACGTTGGTCCCGCACCCGCTGGCACCCGCGTCATTTAACCGTTCTCCGGGTGCTGTGTCATTCCACCCCCCCTCCTTCCCCCGCCGCCTGGTCCCCTCCCGGGAGCCCCGAGGACACCCCTCGCCCTCGCCGCGCCCCTGGCAGAGGCAGCGTTGGTGCCTGGCTGTGCCCAGCTCTGTCTGCCTCCCCACTGCAGCCAAAACGTGGGGACTGACCCCCGCCCCGCGCTGGGTAAAGTCGGGGGGGATCAGCCAGAATCGGGGGGGCTTTTCCCGTGGTGCTGAGCAGGATCTGTCCCCCCCCGCCCCCATGAACACACCCCCTCGATGGACAGGATGGGAACCAACCCCTCAGTCCCCTCTGGGACAGGACCGGGGTGCAGTGGGGATGTTTTGGGGCTGTACGGGAATTGAAGGGGTATCTTCACTGTCCCTGGTGCTGTTTTGGGGTGGGGAGGGTTACAGCCTGTTACCGTTCTGCTCTTAAGGGAAGGAAGCCCCCCGGGTTTTCCCGTGGGAAATCTGGGTCGGTTATTTGGCAGAGACTTAACCCTGGTGCTGCTGGGCTGGTGCCTCCGACAGGGACTAGAGAGGGGGACAGGGCCCCACCTCTTCCCTCGGGATATGAATGGTGACATCATCTGTTTCCCCAAATAGATCCCAATTCAGAAGTGAGGGAGATCAGGAAAGTAACGCCCCCTCAACAGATGAAGGCAGGTTATTTGGGGTTGCAAGTTGTCCAAGAGTGGTAGGGTTTTTTTGGAGGGGGGGGTCTTTGCTCTGCTCTGGTGCACACCTCCAGCTCATGTCTGACATCCCACACTCACCTGGCATTGTGGATCCCAACACTTTCCCCACCTGGCAGCTGAAGGGGAGAGTGGGGGGGGAAGCCAGGGCTGGGGTCCTCCCATCCCCTTGACACCCTAGTGGGGGTCCCCAGCCCCCCACCCGAAGCTCTCAGCCTGATTCTTTTCCCTCCCTCTGTCCCCACAGTTAAAAAGGCCAAGTATGACGGGCCCCAAGGTAAGTGACCCCCTACCTGCCTGCCCACCTGAGGGGGGAGGGAGGAAGGGGGCTCTTGGGCTGGTTGGATGTGGCAGGGTCAGAGGAAGAGCTGGGGGGAGAGGGGAGCTCAGGCTTGTCCTCGGCTCTGGAGACATCATTTGGCACGTTTGGGGTGGGGGAGGAACACACACAGAGATGGGGGTGCCCTGGACAGGAGAGGGGGGGGACTCACATTCACCACCCCAGCAGAGGTGGGATCCATCCCAGGGCTGGCGTGCCAAGTGTGGGGGTCCCCACAAGAGGGTGGCAGGGGGTGGTGTCAGGGGGTGGGGACACACTGGGGGTCGCCTCACCCTCTTCTTGCTCCCACAGAGAAATTTAACACCTACGTGACCCTGAAGGTGCAAAATGTCAAGAGCACGACCATCGCGGTGCGGGGCAACCTGCCCTCCTGGGAGCAGGACTTCATGTTGTGAGTGTCCAGGGGGTCCCCTGGGGTCCCCCATCACTGGTGCCCCTGCACACAGGGAGAGGTCCCCTGCTGCCAGCCCCACTGACCCCAGCCCTGGGGGCTCACCTGAGTCCTGGGGCTGAGGGGACAGGTTGAGGCTGGGGTGGTCCCAGGGGCTTGCTGAGGGGGGTGACCTGAAGAGGGGGGGGGTAACCTGATACCTTTCCTGTCCTCAGTGAGATCAACAGGCTTGACCTGGGCCTGACAGTGGAGGTGTGGAACAAGGGGCTCATCTGGGACACTATGGTGGGGACAGTGTGGATCCCCCTGCGGACCATCCGGCAGTCCAACGAGGTAGGGAGCTGGGCATGTCCAACCCCGTGGGCCCCAAGGGACATGACCCACTCCCAGCTGTCCCTCGGGGCAGGGAGTGCCTTCCCCATCCTGCTTGGGGCCAGACCCTGTGTGCTGGCTGTGGGGCCAGGAAAGGCCCGTGGGAAGCCTCCTCACCCCATTTCCACCCCGCAGGAGGGCCCTGGGGAATGGCTCACGCTCGACTCCCAGGTCATCATGACCGACAACGAGATTTCGGGCACCAAGGACCCGACTTTCCACCGCATCCTCCTTGACACCCGCTTTGAGCTGCCGCTGGGTGGGTACCATCCCCAGCCCCCCCAGGATAGGGGTGCATCCTTCCTGGCCCCCAGCCCCAGGGATGCTCAGGAGCCTTGGAGCTGGGGCTGAGGCTCTGACCCTGTGACCTCAAAAGCTTGAGGGCTGTTTTGGGAGAGGGGTTCTGTGCACCAAGTTGGGTCTTTGCCCTTGCAGATATCCCCGAGGAGGAGGCCAGGTACTGGGCCAAGAAGCTGGAGCAGCTCAACGCGATGCGGGACCAGGATGATGTAGGTGCAGCCAGGCCCGGGGTGAGGGGGTGGGGGCAGCAGTGCTGCCAGCAGGAGCCCTCACCAGCCCCTCTCTTCCCAGTATGCCTTCCAGGAGGAGCAGGAAAAGCCTCTGCCCGTGCACGGCTCCCAGTGCTGTAAGTGCTGCCTTATCCCTGCCCTGCTGTGGGACCCCCACGCCCCCTCTTACCCCCCACTCCCTGTGCTGGGGATTCTTGGGGTGGGCTCTGTGTCTGCTTTGCAGCACTAGACACCAAACAAGTGGGGCTCAACTCTACCCCACACCCTGTCCCCATTCCCATCCTCCCTCCCGTGTTTGCTGGTGTTTCTTTGCTGTCTCCCTGCTCCACAGTGGGTGAGCCTTCCTGTGGTCTGAGGGGAGCAGGGTGTGAGGGGCAATGGGGCTGCTGAGGACGGTCCCCTGGGGAGCCTGGGCAAAGGGCAGCAAGGCTGGTGAGGGAGCTGCTGGGTGGGGGCCCTGGCAGAGGGGTCTGGGGGATTCAGGGTGGCAACTCATTGTCCCCCTCAGCTCCCAACCTGTGCCTGTTTACCCTTCTGTAACCACCCCAAAGCCATGCACGAGTCCAGCTCAGTGTGTCTGTGCCCAGTCCAGGACCTGTCCCCTTTCAGTGCCACCAAGCCTATCCACAGCGCTGTCCCCAGCCTGGGTCAGTGTCACTGTGCCCAGTCCCATGTGCTGTCTCCAGCCCAGCTTGGTGTCACCACGGCTCAGGCCCGGGGACTGTCCCCAGTGCACGAGCCACTGGGCTCGTTATCCCTAAGCCCCTTCCCTGTCCCATGGAGGTGCTGCATTGCCCACTCCCTGTCCCCAGCGTGGCTCAGTGCCAACATGCCCCATCCTGGCTGTGCCCCATCTCAGGGCACTGTCCCCCACCCAGCCCAGTGCCACTGTGCCATCTGGGAGATGCTGGTTCCTCCCAGCCAGCTGCCTCTGTCCTCATTGTCCTTTTTTTGTAGGCAACTGGAATTATTTTGGCTGGGGAGAACAGCAGAGTAAGTATCCTGCCCCTTCCTCTCCTCTCAGCCTGGGGGCCCATAGCACGTCCCCCTTTGCCTGGCCCAGGGCTCAGGGGACCTGGGGCTTGGGTTCAACCTGTGGCCTCATGCCATGACTCTGCTGGGTGAAGACAGTGTCACCAAGTGCCCTGGTGGGGACACAGCACTGGGGGGCTCTGTGCCCTCAGGGTGCCCTGGTAACAATGAGCAGCCCAGGCTTTGCCTCTGTGGTGGGACATCAGTGGGGCAGAGGGAGGGTCTGCCTTGTCCTCTTTTCCCTTTCTGTATTTCCCAAATTCCCCCTCTGCCTGCCCTCCCCCCTCAAACACTTCCTGCACTGAGAACACGTGCAGCCCCCTCTCACCCTGCCCGGGGTCCATCTCCCCAGCACGCTCCCACAGCACTGTGGACACAGTGGGGGCACTGAGGGGTCTGTGCAGGGCGTGGGGCAGGTTTGGGCCATCCCCTGTCCCACTCACTGTGCCCCCCGGCAGATGATGACCCTGACAGCACGGTGGATGACCGGGACAGCGATTACCGCAGCGAGACCAGCAACAGCATCCCCCCCCCTTACTACACCACGTCCCAGCCCAACGCCTCCGTGCACCAGTACCCCATGAGGCACCAGCAGCAGAGCTCCCGTGACTCCTACACTGACTCCATGCAGAGCTACGAGATGGACTACTCGGACCAGGCTCCCATCAGGTAGTGTGGGGTGCAGCTCCCCCTGGGACTCCCTCTCTCAACTTCCCCTCCAGGTGACAGAGGCCAGCAGGTCCCTGAGGTGATGTCAGGGATGGCGCTCCCGGGGCGGTGGGTGACAGAGGGAAGGAGGCTGAGGTGAGGAAAAGGTGGATGGTGCTGGCCCCATCCAAGCCTTTCCTTCTCCCTGGGAAGTTTTCAAGCTCTTTTGGGTCACCGCTCTCCTCTGTCCTCGCTGGGTTTGGGGACCCCCACGCCACGCTGGGAGCTGGGCAGTGGGGTGTGGGCTGGCCAGGGACGCAGACGCGGCAGAGACACCTGCCCGGCGCTCCATCCCTGGGCTCAGCCCAGCCCAGCCCAAGGTGCCAGCGCCCCCCAGGTGGGCAGAGCCTCCCTGCCGGTGACCCCGGCGGCAGGGCATGCCGGGCCGTGGCGGGTGGCGGTGGTGTGGCACCGGGGCCTCGCTGACCATGTTCCTCTCCTCCCCGGCAGACGCTATGGTAGCGTAGACTCTGCCGCAAACGGACGCAGCGACGCTGAGTCCGGTTCTGAGTCGAGCAGGCGGACCAGCCGCCAGCCTTCCCTTGAGAGCAGGCGGTCCCTAGACCTATCGGATAGGTGGGTCTCTGCCTGTGCCGTGTGCCGTGTGCCGTCGCAGAGTGCTGTGGTCGGTCCTTGCAGCCATGGTGAGGCCAACACCAGTCCTGGCAAGGGCGGCCTCGTGCCACCGCAGGGTCCCTGCTCCCCGTCCTGGATCAGCCTCGCAGGGGGGCAGCCTTGGGGTGCTCCAGGTGTTCCCTCTGACGTCCCTTCTTGCTGCTGCTCCCCAGTTCATGGGGCGGTGTCGCAGCATCCTGGTACCACTCGTTGGCACTGCGACCGTCTGGCAGCCTGTTCCTCCTCGTGCCAGCGGGTGTGGAAGTGGGACCTCGGGGACTGAAATGCCACCCCCTGTTCCTGGTCACCTCCCAGGGAGTGCCTGGCTGAGCCAAAGCCTCATGCAGTGATCTGGGACCCTTGTGATGTGCCAAGGGCCCCTCTCCCAGCTCTGGCCAGGGTCAGGATGGGGAGGTGTGGGGTTTCCACGCATGAGCCATGTCTCCTGCACCCCTGTATCCCAGGTGCCCCTTCCCAAGGTACCTGGGTGATGCCAGTACCTCTCCCAGCTGGGACCAGCCTGGGCATCCCCCAGCACCCTCTTCCCTGCGGTGTTCCCTGGCTTCCCACTGCCTGGCTCGGCCGTTCTGGGCTCTGCCCACCCCATCCCCTCATCCCCACCCCCCTTGCCCACCCCACTCGCCCTGGCTGGAGACGTGGTGTCGGCCTCTTCCTCGGCATGTCCCTGTCCTGTCTGCATGTCTGCTTCTGTCAGCCTGTCCCCACGAGCCCCAGGGCACAGGGGCACAGGGACCCCTGCAGCCCCCCCAGTGCAGGCAACTGTGAGAGGAGGGGGCTGGAAGGGCCCGGGGGAGGGGCAGATTGGGGGCGGGGGGGAAAAGGGATGTGGCTGGGCAGGAGGAGCGGAGAGAGGACCCCCAGGTAGGGATGATGTTGAGGGGAGTGAGGGGGCTGAGGGGGTGTCTTGGGGTGAGGGTGCCTGGGAGGGCTACGGGGAGTGCTGGGGTGTCAGGTAGAGGTTGGGTGACAGCTCTGTGGGGCAAGGGCAGGACAAGGGTTTCTGGCAGTAGCAGGAGGCAGCATCTGGCTGGGGGTGCTGTGCTCTGCCCACACCCCTGGCTGGGGTGAGCTGAGGGGGCAGACACTGTCCTCCCACCGTCCTCCCATCCCCACACTCAGCCCCGGCACGGGCAGGAAGGTCAGACCCCGAGAGTGCCCCACGCTGGGGGCTTATCCCAGCCCTTGGAGTCTCCTGGGTCTGTGCCTTTTGATTCCCAGGTTGAGGAGCCCGGTGCTCCCGCTGGGAGCTGCACATCCTCCCACCTCTGGGGCGGGCACTCCGGGGCTCTCTCTGGGGTGACACGGACCCACAGGAGCCCTGTCCTTGTGTCCCCTCGCCCCTCAGCCCCACGGGGAGCAGTCGCTACGCCTCGTCGGCCGAGCTGAGCCAGGGCAGCTCCCAGCTGAGCGAGGACTTCGAGAACGAGAGCCTGCGGGACTCGGAGCTGGACGAGAGGGACGGCGACTCCTACCACTCCTGCCACAGCTCCGTCAGCTACCGCAAGGACTCACCGCGCTGGGAGGAGGAGGACGACGATGATCTCTACCTGGAGGAGGAGGAGGAAGAGTTCATTGAGGACTACAGTGAGACTGAGGAAGGCTACCCCAAGGAGGAGGAGCTGGAGGAGGAGGAGGAGCTGCGGGAGGAGGACACTTATGAACCCCCCGAGGACGAAATGTACCCCCCGCCACAGAAACCTCCCGCACAGCAGCAGCAGCAGCAACAGGTCCCACAACAGCAACAGCAACAGCAACAGCAGCAACAGCAACAGCAACAGCAGCAACCTCAGCTGGTCCCACAGCTGAAGCCACAGCAGCAAGAGAGAAAGGAGGAGAGGAAGGAGGAGAGAAAAGAGGAGAGGAAGGAGGAGAAGGACACCTCTGCCTCCCAGGAGACTCCTGAGGCCCTCGAGGCCCAGAGGGGAGCGGAGGAAGCTCCCGTGCAAGAGGCAGCCCCAGAGTCTGAGCCCCCAAAACCTGCTGAGAGGTAGGAGGGGGGACTGATCTGCCCTGGGATGGCACTGTGCCTGGTGGCACTCAGGATGCTCTGGAGGTGGTTCAGGGCTGGGGCTGGTGCCAGGGGGCAGGATGAGACACCTTGTGCGGTCTCTGGAGCTTTTCCAAGTGCCTGAGGCACTGAGATGAGGGAAACCCACCTTGTGGGCCCTAGGCAAGGGCCAGGCCCCTCAGGCACACTGCCCTGGCCAAGCCACCCGCCATGCTGAGCAGGGCTCAAGGTGTTAAAGAACCTGCCAGAGCTATGGGTCTGCAGGTTTATAACCTGAGACAAACCTGGGGCTGGGGAAAGTGGAGCCTTGAGGCTGCAGTTCCTCTCCTCTGGCTCAAGTTCTTGGCTCCCTGGATGGAGGGGGTACCCTGGAGCTTGGTCAGATGAGGAAATTTCCATCCACAGGAGCCAATCCTCTCCTTAGGCCACTCCATGGCCTTCTGTGCTGTGAATTAGTTGGTGGCCAGGTTCCTGGTGCAGCATGTGTATAATTCATATCTCAGGGACAGATTACTCAAATGTCCATGTCCATTTTCAGTGAGCGTCACCCCTCCCTGAAGAAGGGAACTGTGATGGGCTTTTTCAATCTTTTATTTAGTTTAAAATTAGAGGCCAGAGCTGGGGAATCTCTAATTTAAGAGAATGTGCAGGGAGCTGTTTTTTTTTCTAAAAAAATGCATATTTGGGCCCAAGGGCTGGCAGCAGCCTGGGCACAGGTGGCCTCAGGTCGTGGCTGCCTGTGGTGCCCGCTGGGCCGGGGGCTCAGGGGGGTCCCATGTTAGGAATTGGGGACCATGAATTGTGCTGGGGACCCCATGTTAGTGCTGAGGACCACAGGTTAACATTGATGAGCCCAGATTATCACTGAGGACATCGGATTAGCGCGGGGGACCATTGGTTAGTGCTGGGGACCACAAATTAGTGCTGACAACCCCAGATTAGCACTGGGGACCCCAGATTAGCATAAGCAGAGACCCCAGGGCTGGTTTGGGCAGGTTCATCTCCTGAGCTCCCAGCCTAGTTCTGGGTCTCTCTCTCCAGTGTCATGTCATAGCATGGGTCTCAAGGAGGTTGTTGTGTTTGGAGAGCTCCTTTTTGGTTCCTCTGTGTCTTGATTTTGCAGGAGAGGAGAAAAAAACCCCACAACATCCAGCATGTCCAGGTGCACAGTTTTCCCTGGGCTTGGAGCCATGGGGGTGTTGGGGGTTCTTCACCCTGTGATGTTGTAGTGGGAAGGGGCCAGAGAACATCCTGATGGATGTGAGGGGCAAAGAATGTTTCATTCACATACTTGTGTCACCGACTGTCCCCACATGTCACTTGGGTGCCCAGGGCAGGATCTCTGAAGGGAGGGGTAGCTCCTGCCTTCTACCCAGTGCTCTGCCCTGACAGTGTCACCCTTTGCAGCAGGACCTGCTGCATTTTGAGGTCCTTCCTGGTAGCAAGAGGGGGTTTTGGCGTGGCCACGCTGGCTCTGGGCCCATCGGGATCCCGAAATCGCAGCCTCGGTCCTGCCCAGGGTGTGGGGGCTGGTTCCCCCTCCCTGGTGCCATGCTGGGAGGTGACAAGGTGTGTGTGTCCTTGCAGGGAGCAGGCAGAAGAGGAGGTGGACCCCAAAGCACGAGCCAAAGCCAACTGGCTGAGAGCCTTCAACAAGGTCTGCATGCAGCTGCAGGAGGTGAGGACCCCCCTGGCCACTGCCCTGGGCTGGGGGCACGGCCCCTTCCCACGCCCTGGCAGCTTCCAGGGGACATCCACTCCCCAGGGACCCATCCTGACCTGGGGATCCCCAGCAGTGGTGGCCCCACAACCCCATTCCTGCCAGGTGGGACCCCCGGAGGGGCCTGGAGTGCTGAGGACGCCCCGTGTGTGCTGCATGCGTGTGCTGGTGCGAGCCCCCCACCCTCTCCCCTCTGTTGAGTTGACAATATTTTGTTTTGTTTTTAGACTCCATCCTCCATCTTTTCTTTTTGTTTTGGCTCTGGATTCGCTCCCCGGGGTCTCGATCCCCCTCCCCACCGCTTCTCTTTTCAGTTCTCCACCACCATGGCCCTTGCACCCGCGTCTCCCCTCCCTGCAGGGAAGGGGTGTAGCCTGCCTGCAGGTAAGCATGTCCCCCTGGAACCTCCCAGCAACCTGTGTGCCTTCCCTCTGTGTGTGTGTGTGTGTGTGTGTGTGCAGGGACTGCCCCACAAGGGCAGTGGTCTCTCTCCTCCCCCGAAATAATCCCCTCCTGGCAGGGGAGGTTGCACTGCTGGACTGTCCCTGCACACACCCCCACTTCCATGTGCTCTGGCTTTTCCCTGCTCTTCTTGCCGACTGCTGCGGGTCCCCCAGGACCAGCTGAGCCCTTCTGATGCTTTTCCACTGCCCCAACCCCCAAATTTTAGCACGGTGTAGCCGCCCACCTTGCTTTGTCAGCCTGAGCCCCTCTGCTGAAGCCCCCTCACCACTCACCCAGCTCAGACTCCTGAAGATGTTTATTCCCAGTGCCAGCTCTTTGCTGGGAAGAGCCCCGTTGGTGTTGGGACACTTTGCCCACCCTGCTCATCCTCCCGTGCTTCCCCAGTGCTGGGGGCACGGTGGGGTGCTCACTGCCCTGGGGGGGCTGCCTCCCACTCTGGTGGATCCCACTGTGCCCCTGACACTGTTCTGTGTTTTCCAGGCCCGCGGGGAAGGTGATGGAGAATCCAAATCCCTGTGGTTCAAAGGCGGGTGAGTACAAGGGGAAGCTGGAATGTTCTGCCCCCCCCCCCCCGGGATCTCAGCCCCCTCCTCGTTAGGATGTGATTAACAAGCTCAGCAGTGGGCCTGCGTGGGGAAGGGTTGCCGAGCTGTGGGCATGCAGTGGGGCCAGATTTTGGGGCTGAAAGCTGGTTGATGTCTGGTGCTTTTGGAGGAGCCAGCAGAGATGACATTGCTCTGTGTCCCCAAGAGCTGCTGCCGAGGGGGAGAGCGAGAGGTGAGTTGGGATGGGACAGAGTTGGGCTGGCAACTCCTGCTTCCCTCATGGAGTGATGCCATGGGGAATCCCGAGCCTCTCACCTCCATGGCCTGTTTTGCCCTTGCAGACAGCTCTGCCATGACCCCAGGCAGAATGTGGCAGTTTTCCCTGAGAATTCCCAGATCACACCAGGGATTTCTCACAGACAGGGCTTCAAAGCTGAATTCCTGCCTCAGTTTCTCTTGCAGCAGAACTCAAGGCTCAGGTGCTCAGTGCTCCCCTTTGGAGTCCCAGAGGGAACCCCCAGCTCTCCCTCCCCACGCTGCAAAGCCAGAGCTGACTAAGCCAAATGGGCTGGTTTTTCCTGAGTTTCACTGTTGCACTTCATGTGGTGAAAATCACAGTTTCCTGCCCAAATCCCCTCCCCCTCAGCTTTTAGCCCAGTGATCCCTGCCCCAGCTGGGGTGGTGGTGAGGCTGGGGGCCCCATGGACAGGTCCCAGCCACAGAGGGATTGCTCTGCAGTTCCATCTGCCAAATCTTAGATAGTAGGAAGAAATACTTCTCTGAGAGGGTGGTGAGGTCCTGGCACAGTTTACCAGAGCAGCTGTGCCTGCCCCATCCGTGAAAAGTGTGCAAGGCGAGGTTGGACCTGCCTTGGAGCAACCTGGGCTAGTGGAAGGTGTCCCTGCCCGTGGCAGGGGGTGGAATGAGGTCAGACCCAAACCAGCCTATGATTCTATGAAATCCCGAGTGACCACGGGGCAATAACAGGGTGCCCCTTCCTGCCTCAGCGTGCCCCTCCCCTCTGACTCTCCTCTCTCTTGCAGGCCTGGTGGTGGGCTGATCATTATAGACAGCATGCCGGACATTCGCAAGCGAAAACCCATCCCCCTAGTTAGCGATTTGGTGAGGTTCCTCCTCAGGCACCACCCCCTCAGCTGCCGGCTTCGCTCCCGCTGCGCCCCACCGGACTGCGCCCGTGCCCTGCTCCCCAGCTGCCTCTAACATGGCTTGTGTTCTCTTGTTTTCTTTCCTGTGGCCTGGCTGGGCTTCCCCCGCGGCAGGGGGGCGGCTGTAAGGTTTCTGCGCTGCATTAACAGCATGCCCGACATTAAGCCTGGACGCAAATCTCTCCCTCTAGTCAGCGATCTGGTGAGCGCGGTCCGAGGGGTTAAAGAGAGAGCGCCCTGGGGTGCTGCCGGCCAGCCCTCAGCTCCCCCAGCCCTGCCAGAGGGGGGCGGGGGTGTCCCAGGCTGGTTTGGGGGGCTCCTGGCCCTCCTTGCAGTTGGGGGGAGCTGTGAGGATGGCACAGCTGGGCTCTCCCTACCCGAGGGTGCTTCTCTTTAACGGAGCTCCGGTCCCTACACCAAGCATCAGCCCGAGGCTTCCCGGGGCTGCTTCTGGTTTCCCATTTTTTTGCTGGTGCTGTGTCCCTGGTCCTCCCCTGTCCCCTCTGCTGTAGGTCCCTGCAGCTTGGACCATGCTGGTGCTGGACAGATGGACCCCTGTACCAGGGGAGGGGTGGCAGTGGCTTTTCCAAGCTGCCCAGACCCTCTGGTCCCATCCCCACTGTCCTGCTGTGCTTTCACAGCCCAGTGTATGGTGCTGGGGACGCCCCATGTATGGGTCTCCCATGCTGGAGTCCCTTCCAGCCTCTGGGCTCTAATGCACAGGATCACTCTGCTGTCCTCTCCCTGGTGACAAGAGACACCAGTTTTGGAAACCAGACACCCTTTATCCCCAGAATTAGGTGTCCTTCCCCTCCTTCTCCCTCTCTTTACACCTTGCCAGCTCCACTGCGTGCCCTCCCCAGGGTGCCACCCTCCTGTCCCCAACCTGTCTCTCCCCCTATCCCCCTGCCCCACCTTGCTGCCCCCCACCCAGTACCCCCCACCCCCCAGCCCACCTGGGCAGCCGCTGATGCTTCTGCACTGTGCTGTGTTGGTGTTTTGGGGGTTGGGGGATGGGTGGGTGTGGGGGGGTGGGCAGTGTGTGGGGTTTGAGGGGGCTGCTTCCTTTCCCTGCTGGGGTTTGCAGGCTGCAGCCAGTGCTGGGCTTGAGGACACAGTCCCCCCCACCAGGGACTGCCCAGTGCTGGGTGAAGGGGGGCATTGCCCCCATTCCAAGTGGTTCTGTTGGGGAAGGGGCTTTCCTGGGAAGTGTTTGCACTAATGGCCTTTTATTCCCCCCTTGCTGGCCCTGGCTGCCCACAGGCCATGGTAAGTGCTCCCCACCCCATCTCCCCAGGGGCTTCAGGCACATTTTGAGAGGCTCTGCCCTGCTGGGGCTGAACTGGGAATGCCACAGGCTGCTGAACTGGTTCCAGTCCCACTGCACAGCAGAGCTGGGCTGTCCCCTCTGCCCCCAAATGCACCCAGGAGCCCTCCCTGTCTGGGGCTGGGGTCTGTCCTGGGTGTTCTACAGCCACTGGGACCCCAAAGGAGTGCAGGGGGGTCCCCCACACTCCGCTGGATTTGGGAACTCTGTTTCTTTCCCACAGTCCCTGGTCCAGTCCAGGAAAGCGGGAATCACGTCCGCACTGGCCTCGAGCACCTTGAACAACGAGGAGCTGGTAGGTGCAGGGTGGGCTGGGGTGGGGGTGGTTGTGGTGGGGGGCTGAGCCTTGGGGGCTGGGCCAGCAGTG